ACAATATTTTTCATAACGATTTCCTAAGGTCACTCTATCAACAATATGCTCAATGCGATAATCTTTATTCACAAACAGATGGTCGGATCCTTGCGATACAATCAACAATATAGAGGGAAAAGAAAAAAAGGTTAAGGTTCAAGACAAGGAGAAAATTTATAGGAAATCTAGAGAGAGATGCGTACCTTCAATAGAAGATCAACTAAGATGGAAGCTAAGATTGCGTTCCATAATTGCTATGATACAAGAAGAAATTTTACAGAGAGAGGAACTCTTCGATAAAAGAATTATGCCTCACACTCATTTTGTGGTGGTTCTTTCATTGTATATATTTCATTGTATATATGATGGTAATACAATAATGTAATATACACTACCCAGTATACACTTCCCTATTCTTTTAAAAGAAAGAGCAATAATATTTTCCTATTTTTTGGATTTTGTTTCTAACAATTCATGTGTCCTGCAAATTTTTTTTCCATATATCTTTATTTTGCCAATTAAGCCGGCTGGTCCAGATTTGACAAGCGAACTCAGGAACTAGTGTGCCAGAATTGGCACTAGATTCTTTTTTTTTATGCAATGGCAAAGGGAAAAAAAGAAACTAATAAAGAGAGCGAAGTTATGTTAACCTGAGGACACAAGCCATGAAAAAGGCGATTGCAGGGATAATATTTGTTACTGTGGTTGCATAAAGTGGTGTATTCAAAGCCCGAGAAATAGAGAACCTGGTCTAGTGTGGTCCTGCAATGAAATAAATCTTCCCAAAGTACAGGAAACTACCCCAAGAGCGCCATCATATGAAAGAAAGCATTGAAGTCAAGGGGAGGCATTTTTTTCCTGTGAAATTCTATTCAAATTTACAAAACGTTGAGGAAAAATAATAGCTAAGAGAAAGAGAAACACATGGATTTAGATGGGGAGGATAGAGAAGGGGGCATGTTGAGTAACATATGGATGTGGGGAGAGAGAGAGAAAGAGCATGTTGAGTAACATATGGATTGGAGAGAGAGTAATATATTCGATTTTTTGGAATTCGTTTAGAAATCCAATTTTTTCAAAAGATTTTTAAAAAATTACGATTTTTAAGTAGAACAGAGTTAAATCCCTATTTTATCTTTTTTCAAAAAACACTTCTTCCCTATATAACTTTATTTTTTCTTTAACTTAATATTATTGAATTTTCGTTTAAAGATAAGTTCAATAACAGTGGGAGTAAATTAAAAATCTTGATTTAATAAAAAATTCTATCAAAAATTTCACCAGTGAGTTCCCTTAGAAAAAGTGTACAAAAAATGCAAGCAATATATTCCTCAAAAAAAAAAAAATCAAAATAATCGTATATCTCAAAATAATAGGTAGAATTAAAGGAAGAGTAACCCAATGAAAAATATTTTTTTTCTTTAAACCGATAGCGTCTTTATAACGAGCAAGAGAGAGATTCAATGATACTAAAGATTTAGGTAGCTAGGAGTTAGATTCAAATTTGCTTAAGCATTTTGTTTTTTCTTTTATGCATAGAGAAGTTTGATTAATTTCATATCTTACTTTTTATTTTTATTTCATGGGTTATAGAATATAGCATTTTGAATGGACAAATATTTTACATATTTGGGTCTTTACGTTTTCTTTTAATTAAGTGCAATGGCATTTTTTGTTTTTTTCTTTGAAAAATAATCATATTCCTTGGTTCATAGTTCTTGTGTTTAGTATTGTTATTGTTTCAGTTTAAGTTCCTAATAAATCTACAATATGTTTTATATCGTGACAACATAATAAGTATTGTTGTTGGAGTTATTTGAAAGTTTCAACAAAATATTGTTTAAGTATTATTCTAGTGACACTAGTAAGGCTATAAAATTATTGTTCAATTGCTTTGATATATCTATACAATAATTGCAAAGCATTATCCTATATTGTGGTAGATTTACATATTTGATTTTTTCATTACGTGTTTTTAAACTAAATCTGAAATATTCACCATTGGATAACTTACCTTGTTTTTGGCGATCTATATTTTTTACCTTATTTTTTTTCCGAACTTTTTGAAACAAAACCAATTTATTTCCGATCTTTCAATGTGCTCGTATTTTATTATTCCCCAACCTGCTAATTATAGCTGCAACCGTGCAACACCCCATGTATAAATGATGAGTTGCCTAAGCGATTCTCATTTTACAGGCGTGCAAGTCTCCATCTATAAAGCATGTTTTAAAAATAGGTGACCCATTACTTCTTGACCCACAAGGGGAGAGAGAAAATGTTAAGAGAGAAGTAGTATTTTTAAAGAGGACCACGCGTACTACATTGCCACAAGATCATATTGTATGTTTACTCCTTCAGATGAAAGACGTGGGCTTATTTTCTGACCTGAAAATTTGGGTTATACTAAAATAATTATCATATTATTTTTTAAAAATGAGAGATTTTTGAGTGCTTAAAATCTTTATCTAATGGTCTAAAATTTCTGTTCTATCACATGTGGTTATCGTTTTCTTGCGTGTACATTCGTTTTACTTTTTTTTTAGGTCATCCGAAGTAAATTGGGGGCAGAAAAGTACTTGTGAATTCAGGTTTTTAGTCGAGAGAGTGAACTAAGGAAATGCTCATGCATGAGGGTGACATTTGTGCTTTAGCAAAAATAGCATACATTTGGGAATGATGTTGAGGTGGTGGTGGTAGCACCGCTTGTTCTTCAGCTATGGGTTTAGGTTTTCATTCTCACTTACGCATTCTGAATTGTTAATTATTTTTAAAAATGCTGTATTTTAAACTGTTTTAGCGGGTACCGAACAATTTTCCTTTTATCTTTTCCCTATACAATCTCATCTCATCACTCAATCCGACACACATTCTCCCTCTCTCTCCCCCTCAAACCCTACGTCACTCTCTTTAATTCTCTCGATACTCTTACTTAAACACAAACCCCTCACCCTCCTTAAATCTCTCAACTCCCCCCCAACTTTTTTTACTTTGGGAAAGGTTTCTATATTTCTTTTGAATAGAACATATATGCTTCTCTATCATCTGGCCATCCAATTTAGATCGGATGAGTTATTTGTCATTTAATTTAGATTTGACACCTCACAGTATTATATATATATTTATTTTGTTTACAAATTATATGAATATGGAATTTCGTATATGCCGTCATCTCAATGGGGTGCAGCTAAAAAAATATTAATTTTTTTGATAAAACATAGCCCTTAAAACTTTTATGGATATTTTGATCATTTTATTTTAAGAAAATTATCGCAAATGTACCTTAATTTACGGTTAATTGGAAAAAAAATCCCAAACTTTTGTTTCTCTCGTCTACACTCATTTTTCTCATTTTTTGTTTTTTTTAACTAAAATGACCTTCACGGTAGTCTTACTACCGCAATACATATCATTTTATACAGTATTTCAAATACCATAGTAACTTCAAATAATATTACGGTACTTTAAGTACTGTAAAACTCTGGCCATACTGTGAAGCCAATTATGGTACTGTAACTACCGTAAAACTAAACCTCATTATATGGCATTTTAAGTACCGTAAAAACTAACCCATCTTATCTGGCATGTAAAATACTGTAAATCCTTTTCTCATCCTATTTATATTGATCTCTTTCATCTCTAATTATCTCTTCTTTCCCTCTTTAATTAATTTTAATATTTATCTCTTCTTTCTCTCTCTAATTCTTTTTTATCTTTTCTTCATCTTTCTAATTCTTTTTTATCTCTTTTTTCTTTCTCGACAATCTCATCATCGTTTCTTTAGATAGATCAAGTCCTTTGTTTTGTATAGCCAAAGTTAGTGTTTGATTACTCTCTCTAGAGAAACGATGATGAGATTGTAGAGAGAGAAAAAGAGATAAAAAAGAATTAGACAGAGAAGAGATAAATATTAAAAAGAATTAGGGATTGAAAGAATAGATAAACATAAAAAGAATTAAAAATGAAAGAGATAAACATAATGATAAAAGTGTTTATGACATTTTAACTATCGTATAACATGGCTTAATACTTACGGTACACATGGTTAGTATAAGTTTACGGTACTTAAAGTACCATATAAAATGCCCTCAGTATTACGGTACTAAAAGTACCATATAAAATTTTTTAAGTATTACAGTACTTAAAGTTCCGTACAACATGCACTAACTATTACGGTAACACAACTACATGAAAATCATTTTGGTAAAAAAAAACCGAAAATGAGAAAAAATGGTGCAAACAGATAAACAAAAGTTTGGGTTTGTTTTTTCCAATTAAGTTTAAATTAAGGTATATTTACGATAATTTCTCTTTATTTTATCGAAAATATTTTTTTATAAATATTTTTTTACAGGTACGAATGTGCGAGAGGATTGGACACCCAAAATTTATTGTCAAAATATTTTGTAAAAATACTTAAAAATAGAACCGCGATTGGGGCCAGCTCAGCTGTTAGAATTGACAGTTGGATAGGGGAAGTATACAAGTTTTTATGAAGTAGGAGAAGCGTAGAAACTTGTCCTGTTACTTTTCTTCTCTCTCTCATTCAATTACTCTCTGTCTTTACGATTTCACTCACCCTCTCTTTTCAAACCTCTCTCATGATGCAAGAAGCTTCCCCCTCCTTTTAAATGCTCTATCAAGCAAGATCTCTACTTCGAGGAATGATGTTGATTCTTGAAAATTTATGGAAAGTAATTTTTAAAAAGATCCCATTAAATATCATGAAATGGCGGGAAAAAGATCAATGAATACTTTGGAATTTGTCACTTTTTTTTGGAAAAAGATCAATGAATTCAAAAGAATTCATTGATCTTTGCATGCCACGTGACCATATGACATACAAGCAGCCAGTATTGCTCTAGTGAGGATATGCAAGAAGTTGTTGCTGCCCAAAGCATCCCACTCTGCATATATGAACTGAGCTCATCTTTGGAGGCTGGTAACTTCCTATTTGAGTGGGCAAAAGCAAAATTTCAATTATCATTACTATACCCTTTGATCCAATATCAAGAAACTTGAACCATAAAAAAGCCCTGTTTAAAATCACATTCCCAATTAAAAGGCCATACAAAAGCAACTCGATCGTGTAAATTTCCCAATGAATAGAGTGAATTGTTTTACTCAGGGTCCTTTCTCGAGAACATGCCTCCAATAATTTTTTGCAGGATTACATATTGTGTTGATTTATTTGATAATACATATTTTGCTCACAGAAAAATATTAAAATAGGAAAAATGGCTGTCACTTTCTTTGAGCCTTTCAAACTTTCGGCTAAATTTGGTGAGGCTTTCTACTGCATTTGGCGAGATTGCTTAATCACAACAATTAAACTCGATGACATTCTTTTTGTTAAAATACAAGGGCCATCCACATCATAGAGAGAAATAATTCCTTGGGCACATGATGTGTAATTGTCTCCACCTTGGGTTTTCTTAGTTTGTCGCATGCATGTGTTCATGGCACTCACTATAGCATTACCTTGGTTCATTTGGGTTCTCTGCTTTGGGCATCTCTACTACTTTCTCCTGTCTTTCCCCTCCTTCTCTATTGGAAAAGAACTCATCTCCCATTTGGTTGTGTAATATCTTGGTGCGGCCGCCCTTCGAATCTTGGGCTTTTCCCCAGAGAACAACATAAAGCCCAACAATTATCACAGCCATTCCTACAGCACTGCACAAGACAGAATATGCAGAGTTACTCAACCCCTAAGTTGAAAATATATAACAAAACTCTTTCAATTGGTTTCAAAAGGGGGACATTCTGTGTCAACTCACATATAATTTATATGTGTTTTTAGGCCAGAAGCCACTCGATATTAATTGGATGGCTAGGAGTAGATTGAGAACAATGGCTAGAAATGGATTGAGAACAATGCAATTGGTTAGCACGAGTTGTATTTTGCAAATTGTTCGCTCCCAAGCTTCCATTTAATATCAAATGACTAGATTCCTTTAAACACATAAATTTATGCGTGCATAGACACATGTCCTAAAGATTAATAAGTGAATGATGATTAGACTTGGTAAATTGCTGTTTATAATAATAATCAGAAATGAGGATTTGATAAATTGCTAAATGAAATGCTTACCTCCCAACGTAGAGATCAACATGGAGAAAGATAGGCTCCAAAATAGCAGTTATAACTGAGCTTAAAGGGTAGAAAGCAGCAGCAAAGATGGGGCCTCTCTTGTTGATACACCAGCTTTGAATAAAGAAACCTATAGCCGAGCAAAAAACACCCTGTATTCTTGAATTATCAGTGAGCTTCAAAGATTCATACTAAATGAGGACTATGAGAAAGAAACTCGAATGACAAAAACCATGTGGTTTAAGTAATAAATTAAATAAGGGATTGTATAACATGTGATCTTTATCTTCGGTGTAAGAAAGTCTGATAGCCAATGGTGCGCCACTGATTTCATGTGAAATATTTCTCTTGAACTTTTATGTAGAAATGATTGTTTATTTTTGGAAAAAGGTCACAAATGCCCCGAGAAATGGAGCATCGTCAGACAAATTTGATAGATAGGGGATATCATTTCTCCACATAAAGTTCTTGAGGAATACTCTCGGATTTTGAACACAACCAGCGGCACAACCTTAGCTTCCTAGTTTTAACTTGTGACAGCTAGTGGTGATTTTGACTTTTTTATAAATACTATAAAACAAAAAAGTGAAATAAAATTTGGAAATGACCAAAGCATCGTTTTGTGCTTTCAAAAGTAATGGGAAATTAGAATTAGATCCCCATTTTAACTGTGTTTTTAGTGTGAAAGCATTCATATGGAATATCGAATTTATTTGACAGTCAGAATTATATCCCCACTTTAACGGTGCTTTTCGTGTGAAAGTATTCATATGAAATATCGAAATTATTTGAACAGGCCAAAAGTGGAAGAGTGTTGGAAAACTCAAGCCTTAAATGGGTCCAGTCTAAATGGGTTCGATATTTGTTGACGAAAAGAAGTCTAAAAGGAAGATGAATAAACAGGGAAATGAAGTAAAAAAGCCAAATAGAATGACCATTCACAACACATTTTAAAGTCATGGAAAGTCACAATTATGAGTCCCACTTTGTTTGAAAAACATAGGCATTCAATAACATCAGCAATATGGAATTTAACCAAAAGAGCTGGCATCAAGAATTGGAGAAACTGGGGCTGCAAATGGGTCAGGCCTAGGTGACTAAATGAAGGCAAAAAGGAAAAAGACTAAATGAATATGAATGTGATTAATCCAAAGATCGAATTCTTACGCTGTAGATATATGTTAGAAGTCTGTAATTCCAGGCTAGTCTCCAAGCCGCCGCAGATCTTTCAAAGCTAACAGCGATCACACTGCACTGGACCGTACCCATGAGCAACATGAGTGCAGTCAAGACGAGTTGAGCAGGGCAATCCTTGAAAACCCAAGCCTATAAAAAATTTACAAAAAGAGAAATTGAGACGAGAGGAAATATGGAGGAGGATTTGCATTAGTCAAAGCTTTGAACAAAAGAGTGGTGCAGTGTTTTAAAACTCAATGAGTCTGAATCACACTCCCATGTTTTACTCAAGATTGGCACCAGATAGCTAGAAAAGCAGGGTTTGCCAAGCTGACTTGAGACTAATAAGACTTACTAGGCCTCGGCATTTCCCGATACCGTGTTTTTAAACACTAAGCAAAAATAAACCGAAACACTTAATGTGAGTAGTGGGTACCTGGTAACTTATCCATGCAGAATAAGCAGTAACACTAATTATGAGCAAAATTATGCCCAAGGTCAAGTTGTCCTTGGTATCAACCAGTGATTTGGCACCCAAAATATCAGAAAGAGATTTCGATGTCATGAGGTAATGAAAGAATTCAAGGATAGGACCTTTGACAAATGTCATGATCATAGCACCTCCAACGCATATAATGGTGCCAATGACCTTCGCTTGGCCCCTTGGGCTCTTGATATTCACGTTCTCCAATCTGTAAAGCAAAGTAGAAATGGACACTTTTGAGTCAGTTGTTGAAAATTGATGAATCAACTCTTTTTTTCTCTTTTTTTTTTTTGGTGTAATTCAGTGGGGATGACAGGCCCCTACCTATTTTTGAATTAAGTAGTGGTTATTGAAGCTGTCAATGGGAATGAAAGCCACAACATACAACTTAGGTATGAGTGTACAACCACCATGACCTCAGCCACTTTCCCAACATTGAATCACCTTAGTCAACTATGGCAGGTTCTAGTTCCAGATGGTCCAAAACTGGGGAATAGTCAGACCTTTTTTTAGAACTGTAGGGACTTAGGCGATTCTCGTGCGCCTATGTATTTTTTTTCATTTTTGTTATTTCACCATTTAGACCGGCTCGCCCATATTTGAAGAGCAACTTAAGAATCTCGAGTGCCAGATCCACCACCCGATTCATATTTCTTAAGCAATGCAAAGTAATAAGGAGGGCGTAGTTAAGTTCACCTTAGGAGACAGGCCATGACAAAGGCTATTGCAGGGATAAGATTTGTTATGGTGGCTGCATAAGTTGAAGTGGTGTATTCAAAGCCCGAGAAATAAAGGACCTGTTCTAGTGTGATCCTGCAAATTCACCAAATACACTATGACACAATGTTCCTCATCACAAGTGTGATGAAATAAATCTTTCTAACTAGTGGTCCTCACCCTAAGAGCGCCAGCATGAATATGTGAAACAAAGCCTTGATGTCAAAGGGGGGCATTCTTTGCCTGTAAAATTCCATCCAAATTTACCAAGTGTTGAAGAGAAATACAAAAAGAGCTAAACTAGTAAAAAACACAGTATAGCTAAATAGGAAAAAGAGAAACACATGGATTTGGATGGGGAGAGAGAGAGGGAAGGGGGGCATGTTGAGTAGGGGTGGCAACAAGTGGGGTCTGGACCCAGACCCAAATACTATTCGGGTCTAGGTTTCAGACCCTGACTCATTTTTCGGATAAAAAATTTGAACCCATATCTAGACTTGAGGTCGGGTGTTCCCCGGGTCTAGTCAGGTCCACTGCCACCCCTTTATTTACGCGAGACATGTGGGTTATGACTATGAGTTTATTTTTTATTGTTTAATCTTTTTTAACCATCATATATCTATATTATTGGTAAATTTTACTATTGGTAATATTTACTATTGCACAACATGTATAAATACCCACATGTACCCACATTCCTGAAATAAACATAGGGACAACATTTATGTATACCGACATTATTTGGGTGGACCTAAACTCGGATTCGATCTTTCAAGTCCAAAATTTGAGCTTGAGTCCAAAATACTTGAACCCAATATCGGATATCGGATCTACCTATCGGGTCCCGGAGCTGGTTAGGTCTATTGCGACACCCCTAATGTTGAGTAACACATTGATTTGGGGAGAAAGAGAGAGAGGGGGAGAGAAACAGAGAGCATGTTGAGTAACATATGGATTGAAGAGAGAGAGAGGAGGGGGCATGCTGAGCAACACATGGATTTAAAGATATAGAGAGGGCATTTTGAGTAACATGGATTTGGAGATTGAGAGAAGGCATGTTGAGAAGAACATAGATTTGGTGCCACCTTTGAACACCAAAGCACAGAGCAGAGCGTTGAGGAGTGAAGCTAAAGGCTCAAAAATCTACATGGACGATAGTCGGAGTCGACGGCTCCTCGGACGTAGGTTAGGTTAGGTATGAATGCAGGAAAGGAAGAGGGAGAGGTTTAGTCACCTGTCTAAGAAAAATGCAACAGGCGCAATGGCGACAGTGGCCGCAGCCTGCCTATAAGTTACGAACACGTAGCGATTCATGCCATGCTCAAAGGCAGCTTTAATGAGTATGTACATAACTGCAAGCGACGAGCTAAATACCAGCTGGGAAAGAACAGGGCCATATCCTCCACTCCCATCTCTTTCTCTCTCTCTCTCTTCGAATGCTCGCTCAGCTGGAGTTTTGGCGAAAGAGAAGATGCCTTTCCTACTATCTCGTTCTCGTTCCCATTTTATAGCCCGCAACAAACTCTCCATGTACCCAAAATCTGTTACAGGTCAAATTTTTTTAAAATCGGGTAGGGCCTTCATCCAAAAAAAAGAAAAAAAAACTCTTGCATTATTAGGGCCTACCCATTTTGTGTAGAAATTTGGTTTTCTTTCTCTTTCTAAACTCCTCTCTCTAAATATCCCTCTTTCTCTCCCTTTGAATTCTCTTTCTAAAGGATGTGGTTTCTATAAGATTGCAACCTTAAACACTTCATCTACGCACACCTCCAAATTTTATCATGTAATTTTAGTGTAAATAATTATTAAGATTATTTAATTACAAAATTTGAATATCTAATTATAAAATTTTAAATTCCAAAAATATTAAAATCAAGTAGATCTATAAACATATGGAAATTTTGAAAATAGACGGTTTAAATAATATGTTTTAAGATGCATTATTTCTAGGACTCAATTTTTATTTATTTATTTTTTATAGTCATACATCTTGTTGTCGAGATGATCAATTAGAGGATTTTTCAACATTAAAACGAACTTTTCCGATGGATTTTTGAAGTGCTTCTTTAATTCCATATATTAAGGTTACAACCATATATAAACTTCTCCCCTTTCTAAAATCTCTATCTAAATATCCCTCTTTCACTATCTTGGAATGCTCACTTGGAGTATTGTAGGAAAAATCGAACTAGAATAGTTAATCGGACATGGGGCTCAATAACTACTTTTAATAAGTAAACCAATAACCAGACAAGTCCCGAGTGGTCACAAAAGTATTGAAAAAAAAAATACAAAAAATCCAATAAAATATTAAAAAGGGGATAATCTAAACTTCACAACCTTTCAAATTACAAAAGTTAAAAATAGAGAGAGTTGTGAAAGGTGGATTTACTAATTTTGTAGTTTATTTTTAAAAAAATATTACTTTTTGTGATATCTTCATCGATAAGTAAGGGCAATTTTGTAAATATCATTAGAAGATAAGGGGTATTTTTGCCGTCTCACTAATATATAAAGTTGAAATTTATACTAAAAGACAATCGCATTTTACTAATAAAATTTCAGAGCACAAACTTCCAAAATACCATTATACTTTTATAAATATTTCAAATTTGCTTTTGTTTAATGCTCAAGTTATTTTTTAAAATAATATTTTAAATAAAAAATAATGATCTTTTTAATAAATACACATATAACAACCCTTTCTAACTTAAACTTTTATATTTTAAAAAATTGTTAACTCCATACAAACCCTATATAAAAAAGAGAGTAAAATATGATTAAATAGAGTTAAAGGGAAAAAGGTCTTTCCTACTATTTCATTCCCATTTCCATTTCTATTTCCATTTCCAGATTAAAGTTGCAACCCTGCAACAAACTCCTCACGTGCAAAGCATCCGATAGCTCTTTGCCTACCCACTAACAGGGCCTACCCGTTTCGACAAGAAGTTTTGTATTTTGTTTCTTTATAAAAATACATCTCTCTCTAAGTATCTTACGTTCTCTCTCTTCGAATGCTCACCCCCGAATAAAATTGAACAGGAATGATTAACCGGATATGGGGTTGAGAGCAGTTTGAATCGGAACCGGACTAACCGGTCATGTAAATTTTTTTATTTTTATTTTTTTAATAGATCTTAAATTCAAAAAAAAATAAAAATAAACTAAAAACTTAGATTCAGTCTATAATATTTTATTACATACATTTATCTTACAAAACAAATTGAAACAACTTTTTATAAATTAATATTTGAATACTATTGTCCATCCAACCAGGTCACATAAATCTTTTTGTTTCTTAAATTGGGATATTCTTTGAAGATATTTTTGTCATGTAACATCTTCTTTTAAGAATTAACATATTCATCCCAAACTTTACATGAAAAACTTTCTAGTTTCTTTTATACAAAAATCTAGGAACGAAAGTTTATGCACTTTTTTTGCAAATAACAAAAGTAGCTTGATGCTATTAAATCAAATAAAAACGCCAACTAATAAGAAAATGGTAAGAAAGAATTGAGCATTATTGATCCTAAGTAAATTTCAGAATCCAAGACAACTATTTAAAAGCAAGATCAATTTTTTTTGATAATGTAAAAGTTTGAAATTGTGAGTGCCTCTGCCAACACAATTATAATCCTATTTCCATTACATTCCCATTTCCAATATTACAAATATAATTATTGTATGCAATAAAAAAAAAAAATCGAAAAAGACAAAAAAAAAGCAAAAGTAAGACCAACATTATCATGCACTTATTTTTTTGTTTGTTAAAAAAATAAATAACATTTTTTTAAAAAAAGAATCAATTTTTTTCATATTCATCAAAAAACATATTTTTATCATAATTTCATCAAAAAACATATTTTTATCATAATTTCATCAAAAAAAAATATAATTTTAGTAAGAAAAATAGAAAAAAACTTCCTATATTCATCATAAAAAATAATTTTATTGACTTAGTAATATTAAGTAAAATTAATTTCGGTTTTTCAAAAACCCCTTAAATCGAGCAACATTTTAAGCAAAAACGACCCTCAATGTTTGAAAAACAAAACAAATCAATACAAAAGATTTGGAAAGCTTTTCATCATCTTTCAAATGCACCAAATCTAATAAAACAATATATGGGATTTTTTATTTAATATTAAAAAATCATAGAAAATTTAGACCTTTGAAATTTTCATGACATCAAGTAAGAAATAAATTCATAAAGAAAGCTTTTCTCAATTATAAATCAACATACCTATTTTATATGACAGATAAAGCCTTGATGATCAAACTCCATAAATCAATTTGTTAAAAAAGACCTATTTTTATGAATCCAAATTTAATAAATAAAATGTCCAGAGATCTAAAAAAAATTCAAATAATAATTCTAATATCATATTATTATAAAATAAATACAATTAAATTAATTAGATGAGATAATGAGCCATATGGTATAAGGAAGAAATATTTGGGGCACTCGACCTTCAACCGTAGACTACGGTCCACACCTGCTTTATCAATCGACCAAGTGTTTTTCATGACCTACAGTCCATGCAGGAGCTCATCAATGAGATATTAAAGTATGGCCGATAAGCCAATGGGTCATAATCCCAATTTTGTGGATTTCAGGTTCTTCCCTAGAGACGTGCCAAGGTCACCTAGACCTGATGAGACCACAACTCCTATGGTGCATAGGAGTATCTCTCGCACATGCATAAGCTTCACCCTAAAAGGTGGTTCACTTTCTTGAAGGGCAATCATTATGCATACCGTGTCTCTGAGGGCCACCATCACACACAAGATTCACACAGTCTTTAGGCTCACTCATCCGGGCATACTCCGACCTCATCAAGGGATGACCTATTAGGACTCTTATCAAATACTTTTCTATGCCCAAGTAACATAGGTTTTTTTTAACTGATTGGCCTCGACCATCAATCTCAATATCATTTCATTTTACAAGCACCCATAAGGCCTTTAATGGCCACACTCGCATAATAAAAACAAGCAATATATTCTACAAAAAAAGTAATCAAAACAATCGTATCTCTCAAAATAATAGGTAGAATTAGACAAAGAGTAACCCAATGAAAAATATTTTCTTTCTTTAAACCCATGGTGTCTTTATAATTTAGATATCTAAGAGTTAGATTCAAATTTGTTTAAGCATTTTGTTTTTTTTAATGTATTGAGAAGTTTGATTAATTTCATATCTTACTTTTTATCTCTTATTTCATTGGTTATACAACATAGCATTTTGAATTGACCACCATTTATATATTTGGGTTTTTGCGTTTTCTTTGAACTAAGTGCAATCCTACATTGGGTGAATTTTTTGTCTTCTTTTTTGAAAAATAATCATATGCTTTGTTTCACAGTTCGTGTTTGATATTATTGTTGTTTCATTTTATGCTCATAATAAATCATATTTATAAATCTATAATATGATTTATGTTGGTACACTCAAGTGCACCATACTCCATGCTTTATGCCCCAAGCTCCACTCTCCCTATCTCTCACTCTCTCAAACCTCAACCACTCTCTTTCTCCATCTCTCACAGTACTATCCATCATGCCACCCCTAATCTCTCTTTTCATTAAATGAGTAATCACTCTCTCTACTCCTTGTGTCCATGTGGCCCCACTCACTCATTTCTCTCATCTCCCAAACCCTATCTACCTCACTCACCTTAATCTCCTCACGTGGGCTCCACTCTCTCTCTCCCTCACTGACCTCCCCATGTCTTCTCTCTCTCTAACGCTACTCTCTCTTTTTCTCTCTCCAAAATCATTTTGCTCCGAAGTCCGTACACTTATCTTTGAATCCGGTTTTTATGGGAGCAGGTCCACATATATAGAAATATGGGCTTCATAATAAATTTATTTTTGAGATGGATTTTAAAACTGAATTTTTAAAGATATATAATCTCTAACATGGAGATCAAAAAATAAATAAAATTTAAAAACTCGAAATAATAGTTCTAGTGAACAAACATTTGGACCCTTAATTTCAATTGGTTTTAGATAGAATATCTGTTTGCATCTATCTTTAAGATGGGTGCTTTACACTTTCTGGTCCATATATATAGAAATACGGTCCAGCCCACAAGAAATAATTTCCCCTTCCCCCACACAATCTCAATTCATCACTCAATCGAACACACATTCGCCCTCTCTCTCTCTCCCTCAAACCCCCACATCACTCTCCTTAGTTCTCTCGATACTCTTACTTATATACAACCTCCATGTCACTCTCCTTAAATCTCTCAACTCCCCCATTTTTTTAATTTGAGAAGGGAAAAATTTATATAAAGCCAAGGCTCTAAACAATCAAATTTGAGCCCACCTCAAAAATTTCACTAAAAGAGGTCGTTTTGATGCTTAAATATCTTCAAATTGATGATCTCGAAATCAAGAAGCATGGACATGAGAAAAAAATGGATTTCAATTTTTGAAAATAGTGCATTTTGTAACGCATTTTTGGATCGTCAATTTTCAAGATTTCAAGGTTTTATAGATCTATCAATCTACATCGTTTTTGAAGCTTTAAACTTTATAAATAAAGATGAAAAGAAATTTTAAAGCTATTACAAATATTTTCAGTATTGAAACCATACTTCTCGATACTATTTGAAGATATGCTCTAATTTGATTGTTTAGAGCCCAAGCTCTATACAAACCACACCCATTTGGGAAACATTTCTATACTTCCCCTATTGAATAAAAAATATCCGTTTCTATACTTCCCATTCGGGAAAAAGATCAACGAATTCTTTGGAATTTATCACTGCTTTTTTTTTTTTCTTAGAAAAAAGTATTGAAGGGGTCCAGTACCACCATACATACAGAGAGACGAATGTGGGAGCAAATAAATTGGCTAAAGGGGGATACAAATTAAATTTGATTGTAAATAGTTTATTATTTTGGTTATGATATATTACGCTTTGAATTCAAATTTGTGGGGTTTGAATTCAAGTTTTGTATATACATGACCCAATATATAGTTTATTATTAAGAAGACATATCACCTTGGATGGGTTTGAAATAGAGACCCAATTTGTAGTTTGTTATATTGATCACATCATTTCATTTACGGAATTTGATATCTCTTCGTATCACCTTTCCTTGCACACTGCTCACATCCTTTCAATTAAGAGATTTGATATTATATCACCGTGTACACCTATTAGTGTAACGATTTTTGTTCATAATGAAGACATGCTTTTCACGTTATTTCGTGATATGTACTGTGAAGCAGTTTTTGGTGGATTAGCTTGGTCCCTATATGATGCATAGGGAGTTTTATTAAGGAAAATTTCAGTTAAAACTAAAAAAAGGGAAAAAATAAAGAGAGGGCAAAATCATCTTGCTCTAGTGAGGATATGCAAGAAGTCGTATCCCTCTCTCCATATATGAACCATCATCAACCATAGAACTCAGCTCATCTTTGGGTGACCTCCTATTTGAGTGGGCAAAAGCAAAATTTCAATTATCATTTCTATACCCTTTGATCCAAGATCAAGAAACCTGAACCATATAAAAGCCCTATATAAAATCACATTCCCAATGGAAAGGCCATATAAAAGCAACTCGATCGTGTAAATTTCCCAATGAATAGACTAATTTGTTTTACACAGGGTCCTTTCTGGAGAACATGCCTTCAATAATTTTTTGCATGATTACATATTGTGTTGATTTATTTGATAATACATATTTTTTTCAAAGAACATAAAAAAGGAAAAAATGGCTCACTTTCTTTGAGACTTTCAAACTTTCGGCTACATTTGGTGAGGCTTTCTACTGCATTAGGTGAGATTGCTTAATCACAACAATTAAACTCGAGGACATTCTTTTTGTTAAAATACAAGGGTCATCCACATCTTAGAGAGAAATAATTCCTTGGGCACATGATGTGTAATTGTCTCCGTCTTGGGTTTTCTTAGTTTGTCGCATCCATGTGTTCATGGCACTCAATATAGCATTACCTTGGTTCATTTTGGTTCTCTACTTTGGGCATCTCTACTACTTTCTCTCGTCTTTCCCCTCCTTCTCTATCGGAAAAGAACTCATCTCCCATTTGTGTGGGTAATATCTTGGAGCGGCTGCCTTTCGTATCTTGGGCTTTTCCCCATAGAACAACATAAAGCCCAACAATTATCACAGCCATTCCAACAGCACTGCACAAGACAGAATATACAGGGTTACTCAACCCCTAAGATGAAAATGGGTAACAAAACTCTTTCCAATGGTTTCAAAAGGGGGAAATTTTGTGTCAACTCACATACTCACATATAATTTACATGTGTTTTTGGGCCCAAAGCAGTTCGATGTTAATTGGATGGCTAGGAGTAGATTGAGAACAATGGCTAGGAATGGATTGAGAACAATGCCATTAGTTAGCGTTAGTTGTATTTTTCAAATTGTTCACTCCCAAGCTTCCATTTAATATCAAATGGCTAGATTCCTTTATAAACACATAAATTTATGTTAATAAGTGAATGATGATAAGACTTGGTAAATTGCTGTTTATAATAATAATAATAATAATAAATGACGATTTGATAAATTGCTAAATGAAATGCTTACCTCCCAACGTATAGATCAACATGGAGAAAGATAGGCTCCAAAATAGCAGTTATGACTGAGCTTAAAGGGTAGAAAGCAGATGCAAAGATGGGGCCTCTCTTGTTGATACACCAGCTTTGAATAAAGAAACCTATAGCCGAGCAAACAACACCCTGTATTCATGAATTATCAGTGAGCTTCAAAGATTCATACTAAATGAGGACTGTGAGAAAGAAACTCGAATGACAAAAACCAAGTGGCTTAAGGAATAAATTAAATAAGGGATTGTATACCATGTGATTTTTATCTTTCGTGTAAGAAAATCTGATAGCCAATGGTGCACCATTGATTGCATTTGGAATATTTCTCTTGAACTTTTATGTAGAAATGATTGTTTATCTTTTATAAAAGAAGGTCACAATTGCCCCTAGAAATATAGCATCGTCCATAAATTTGATAGATAGGGGATATCATTTCTCCACATAAAATTTGTGAGGAATACACTCGGACTTTGAACACAGCCAACGGCACATCCTTAACTTCTCAGTTTAACATGTGACAGCTAGTAGTGATTTTGACCTTTTTATAAAAAATATAAAACAAAAAAGTGAAATAAAATTTGAAAATGACCAAAGCATCCTTTTGTGCTTTCAAAAGTTCTGGGAAAATAGAATTAGATCCCCATTTTAACTTTGTTTTTAGTGTGAAAGCATTCATATGGAATATCAAATTTATTGCAAAGTCAGAATTATATCCCCACTTTAACTTTGTTTTTAGTGTGAAAATATTCATATGAAATATGGAAATTATTTGAACAGGCCAAAAGTAGAAGAGTGTTGGAAATGACCAAAGCATCGTTTTGTGCTTTCAAAAGTTATGGGAAAATAGAATTAGATCCTCATTTTTTAACTGTTTTTTTAGTGTGAAAGCATTCATATGGAATATCGAATTTATTTGAAAGTCAGAATTAAATCCTCACTTTAACTGTGTTTTTAGTGTGAAAGTATTCACATAAAATATTGAAATTATTTGAACACGACAAAAGTAGAAGAGTGTTGGAAAACTCAAGCCTTAAATGGGTTCAATATTTGTTGACAAAAAGAAGTCTTAAAGGAAGACGAATAAACAGGGAAAGGAAGTAAAAAAGTCAAATAACCTGACCATTCACAACACATTTTAAAGTCATGGAAAGTCAGAATTATAAGTCCCACTTTGTTTGAAAAACATAGGCATTCAATAACAACAGCAATATGGAATTTATCCAAAAGAGCTGGCATCAAGAGTTGGAGAAACTGGGGCTGTAAAAGGGTCAGGCCTAAGTGACTAAATGAAGGCAAAAAGAAAAAAAAGTAAATGAATATGAATGTGATTAATCCAAAAATCAAATTCTTACGCTGTAGATATAGGTTAGAAGTCTGTAATTCCAGGCTAATCTCCAGGCCGACGCAGATCTTTCAAAGCTAACAGCAATCACACCGCACTGAACTGTACCCATGAGCAACATGAGTGCAGTCAAGGAGAGTTGAGCAGGGTAATCTTGGAAAACCCAAGCCTATAAAAAATATACAAAGAGAGAAATTGAGACGAGAGAAAACATGGAGGAGGATTTGCATTAGTTAAAGCTTTGAACAAAAGAGTGGTGCAGTGTTTTAAAACTCGGTAAGTCTAAATCAGACACCCATGTGTTACTCCAAATTGGCACCAGACGGGTAGAAAAGTAGGCTATGCCAAGCTGACTTGAGACTAACAAGACTTACTAGGCCCCCGCATTTCCTGGTTCCGTGTTTGTAAACACTAAGCAAAAATAAGAAGAAACACTTATTGTGAGTAGTGGATACCTGGTAACTTATCCATGCAGAATAAGCAGTAACACTTATTATGAGCAAAATTATGCCCAAGGTCAAATTGTCCTTGGTATCAACCAATGATTTGGCACCCAAAATATCAGAAAGAGATTTTGATGTTCTGAGGTGATGAAAAAATTCAAGGATAGGACCCTTGACAAATGTCATGATCATAGCACCTCCAACGCATATAATGGTGCCAATGACCTTCGCTAGGCCCCTTGGGCTCTTGATATTCACTTTCTCCAATCTGTAAAGCAAAGTAGAAATGGACACTTTTGAGTCAGTGGTTGAAAATTGGTGAATCAACTCTTTTTTTATTTTTTTGTTTTTATTTTTTTTGGTGTAATTCAATGGGGATGACAGGCCCCTTCCCATTTTTGAATTTAGTAGTAGTTATTGAAACTGTCAATGGGATTGAAAGCTACAACATACAACTGAGGTATGAGTATACAACCACCATGACCTCAACCCCTTTCCCAACATGAGATCACCTTAGTCAGCTATGACAGGTTCTAATTCCAGATGGTCCTGAATTGAGGAATAGCCAGACCTCTTTTTAGAACTGTAGGGACTTAGGCGATTCTTGTGCGCTTATGTTATTTTTTTTTTTTTTTTAATTTCACCATTTAGACCGGCTTGCCCATATTTGACTAGCAACTCAGGAATCTTAAGTACTGGATCCGCCACCCGATTCGTATTTCTTAAGCAATGGCAAAGTAATAAGGAGGGAGTAGTTAAATTCACCTTAGGAGACAGGCCATGACAAAGGCGATAGCAGGGATAAGATTTGTTATGGTTGCTGCATAAGTTGAAGTGGTGTATTCAAAGCCCGAGAAATAGAGGACCTGTTCTAGTGTGATCCTGCAAATTCACCAAAAACACTATGACACATCTTTCCTCATCACAAGTGTGATGAAATAAATCTTTCTCGCTAGTGGTCCTCACCCTAAGAGCGCCAGCATGAATATGTGAAACAAAGCCTTGAAGTCCAGGGGAGGCATTCTTTTCCTGTGAATTCCATCCAAATTTACAAAGTGTTAAGGAGAAATACAAAAAGAGCTAAACTAGTAAAAAACACATAATAGCTAAATAGGAGAAAGAGAAACACATGGATTTGGATGGGGAGAGAGAGAGGGAAGGAGGGCATGTTGAGTAGGGGTGGCAACAAGTCGGGTCTGGACCCGGACCCAAATACTATTTGGGTCTAGGTTTCGGACCTTGAGTCACTTTTCGGATAAAAAATTTGAACCCATACCTAGACTTGAGGTCGGGCGTACCTCGGGTCTAATCAGGTCCACTGCCACCCCTTTATTTATGCGAGACATGTGGGTTATGACTATGAGTTTATTTTTTATTTTTTAACCTTTTTTTTACCGTCATATATCTATATTATTGGTAATATTTACTATTGCAAAACATGTATAAATACCCACATGTACCCACATTCCTGAAATAAACATAGGGACAACATTTATGTATACCGACATTATTCGGGTGGACCTAAAGTCGGATTCGATCTTTCAAGTCCAAAATTTGAACTTGAGTCCAAAATACTTGAAGCCAATATCGGATATCGGATCTACCCGGAGCTGGTTGGTTATATTGCCACCCCTAATGTTGAGTAACACATTGACTTGGGGAGAGGGGGAGAGAAACAGAGAGCATGTTGAGTAACATTGATTGGAGAGAGAGAGAGAGAGAGAGAGATAGAGATAGAGGGCATGCTGAGCAACACATGGATTTAAAGAGATAGAGAGGGGGAGAGAGGGCATTTTGAGTAACATGGATTTGGAGATTGAGAGAAGGCTTGTTGAGGA